AATAAAAATTGTCTGTATTTGTGTGTTGAGAGAGAGAAAATTGTGTGTGTGTGCGTGTGTGTGCGAAAGGGATATAGAAAATAATGAAACAACTTAGAGATGATGATTAAATGTGCATATTTGCTTGTGAGCGTATATATTTGCATGCGGGTGCCTGTAAAACAAAAGGACAACAAATGCGTATTTTTTGCAATAACATGTGTAAGAATGTGTTATGTGCATGAGAACTATAATACATGTAGTCAATTCAAAAATTTTTGTGAAAATTTTTTACTTAAAAATTTATACACAAATTAAGCAGTACTTAATACATTAAGTGACAAGGCATTTCTGATATCAAACATGTTAAATTCAAAAAAGTTCTGAATAAATCAATTTTCAACATTAAATAGAGTTGTCAAACAAGACCTAAGTGCTCAGGCTGCAGAATTCCGGACCAGCGTCTTTCCCTACATTCTCTATAACGTTGGGTCTATGACTAGAGCTACGTGCTGTTCACATAATCCTTGTATACCCCAGGGATTTCTTCAGATTAGTTGTAAATGTTGATTCAAATATGTGAAAGGGTAAAAAACATTTGAAAGATACCCGTAACAGTCGATAGCAGGCGATTCCATCCATGCAAAATACAACAAATCAGTGCTTCTGTGTCATTGATAATGTCCACCTTTCTAGTTTAAATAATATGTCCAAAAATTCCATCCAACTATAGCGGGAATAATAACTACCAACCTATCTATTACAATACCCTATCTAATTTTCATCAAATTGGGCTGCATTTACTAGACATAAATAAAAGTGCAGCATAGATAAAAAAAGAAAATTTTTATGTCATATGATGGCAAACCTCTGAGAAAGAACAAGTCTCCAAATGAAAAAGCACGCATGACCAGAAAAACTGAACATCAAATAGCAATAGAAGAATAACCACACCATACGCAAATAGAGCATCTTTGACTGTTTTCTGACACTGGTGGAAAATCATCTACATATGGTGGAATTCCGATCAATGCTGCAAGTTCGATAATGACAGTCATTTGACAAATCACCTCAACCAAAAGGACATCATTTTCTTCCCCTGCACCCCTCGCATTTTTTACCCATTCTTTTCTTCCCCTCACGAATAGTTTCCCAAATTTCTATATGAAGTTCAAGCTGCTGTTTATAGTAACCATACAGCAAATAAACATTGATGAAATTAATTAGGATTATGAGTCAATAAATGTAGCATAGATTCAATTCCCCCTTCCCCGCTTCTTAAATCTCACCCTTATCCTACTAGAAAAATTTTTTTTAAAAAATGTAGTATAGATTCACGACCAAAAGGAGAATGCCAATGACCTCTTGAATCATGCGGAATAGTCAAGCAAAACAAATATCAGAACTCTACTACACCATAAAGGAACTTTTACAGCTGCAGCCACCTACAGCACTTGGGTTTGAAGATACCTGCATACAAAAGAAACTCGTTATTACTTTATCGAGCAGATCCCATATAATAACCACTAGAGGCATTTATAACCAGAATCTACAACCCATATCCATAAAAAGGCAGATAGAACATAGTATTAAGTAAATTCAACATAAGCAAGAATGAATCATTCCATATCTAAAAACTGAAACTATGAGAATCCTGCCCACATATAGAAATTGTGATGGTCAATTATCTTAAAATGTAATGTTGATGAAAGAATATCATCTAATACATCATGAAAGTGAGAAACTGCTTTGTTCAAGAACTCAAAGATGAAAGCTTATGTAACAATGTTGCTGGGTCAGGTTAAGTCAGTCAACTATTTGTTTCCGACCTTTTCTTTGTGCAGAATGTATCATATCCCATCCCAAAGAACCTCAAAGCAAAGGCTAAAATTACTCTGGGCACACCAAAAGCAGAGATATAGGCTTAAAGCATTCTTTACAATTTGTATATTCCAGTCAGTCTAAGTAGTTTGTTTCCTGTCCACAATCAAGTATCACAAACTTTTTGGCCATCTGCGACTCCAATGCTCAAACTATTTTTCGCCCTTCATAATAAAATTATCCAAGAAACACTGAAGCTAGGATAATTTGGAAGAAAGATGCCTTTATTTATTTATTTATTGTCAAAAAGAGTAACATTTTCCTTTGTCAACCATATTACAGGCAGGGCAAAGTAAAATGCAAAGCAGATGATGCACTTTTAATGATGGCCAGAACTTTTATTAGAGTGCTATCTCCAAAGAAATCACTTGCTACTCGGCAGCTTACATATGAAATGGAAAATACTGCATGTTTCAGTATTCATAATATATAGCAACAGACCTGGAAAGCTGAACGGATAAGCTCTTCAACAAAATCGACAGTTGCACCGTTTACAAAATCAAGAGATATCTTATCAACTACCAATTTCACTCCTTCTCGCTCAAATATTCTGCGAAGTCAAAGAATAGAAGGCAATAACGTGAATCACTAAGCCACTGAAAATATCAAATGAAACAAAGCAATAATCCACGGTTGAAGAGGAAACTTATTCAAGTGGAAATTCACGGGAACCTGTCATCATCATTGTGCTTATCGTCAAGAGAAAAGTTATATTGAAAACCAGAACAGCCCCCGGCTTCTATGCTCAATCTTAGCATCTTTTCCTTGCCTTCCTGAGATTGCAGTTCCCTCATTCTCTGTATGGAACAGTGAAATGACCAAAATCCAGTCAATGAACAATTATTTTATATCTGAAACTAGTGCAATGATATCAAACAATTAAAGGAGTAACAGACTAACTACAATGAACTCAACGATGTGAATTTTCGTTTCTTTTTTTTTTTTTTTTGGGTGGGGGGGAGGGGATGGTGGTGTGTTGGATGGATGCGGCTGGGTGTTGACCAAGCCTAAAATTGTGTTCGACATTTTGAATTGATGCTTGTTCAAGCCAAGAAACGAGCCTTTATTCAAAGGAGCTAAAGTCAAAGTTAAGCAACTTCATTTACTCATATGCAGATTTCAAGTTTTATCCCCGTTCAGCCAAGCATACAAAGTAAACAAACACTAAAAATGTAATTCGCACTTGGTGAATTAGTTAGTGAACCAACAACTCAAATGCGCTCTCATCAAGGCAAGCTGGAGTTGAGCCTGGAGAAGTTTGGTTCATCTTTCAGACTAGAAGTAATATCCAATGGAACACAATAGGACCATTTCATACAAACTTCGGAAAGTGCCCTTGAAAGAAGTATGGTACAATAGTACATAACTTTGGAAGAAGGCACACAGACATTCTTAGCTAGCAAGACAAATTAATCTTCGCCAGTACTCATCTTCTAAGATCCAAAAGAGAAGGATGACAATATAAACGGGCATAGCTTTATTGCCACGGAAGTCGCATCGTTCCGTTTACTTATTTAAATTACTAATCCTAAACTACAAATATTTGCAACTTATTCAGTAGACTTTCATCAAATTATAAACAGAATTTCATCCGAATTGAAAGAGTAGGTTGTGAAACGAAACAATTAAAAACTGAACTTATACGGTAAAGGAAGAGAGAGAGAGGGAGAGAGCTACGAGTTTCGCGGTTGCATAATAAATAGAATAGATTAGAGTACCCGGACGCAATTGTCGGTCATGTGAACGGCAACTATAGATTGAGATTGAGATTGGGAAGGGGAAGGCTGAGGAGGAGGAGGTTGCTCGCGGAGAACGGAAGATGACGCGGATGACGAACCGAGGAGTCTCAGGTGATTCTCTCGAATCCGAGCTGCGAAGAAAGGAACCAGTCGACGAATCATCGAACTATACCACGACGTTGCCGCCCACCTGAACTATATTTCTTTCTTCTTCCTTGATATTAGCAGTTACGTGTTTCAGTTTCCTGCATCAGAAATCAATCAGAATTCAAAGCACCAAGACGACAAGGAGGAGGAGTTTGGTTTTGATTGCGGTTGGAGCCATTGTTTAGTTGATAGAATGGGCATGGAAATGGATTCAAGGTTGTGAGCGACTGCATAACACGCGTACCTTCCCTGGTTGGTTGGGCAGGGTTGTCGTGCTTGACTATGAAGCTGTTGGTTGGGCTGCTTCAGCTCACACACGACCGGTGCCAGCTTACCTAGCCCAACGCCCTTTTTTCGCTTGAATATAATATGTGTTTATAATAGGGTGTTTTTTTTTTGGGCCTAATCCGCCGACTTGACATTTATTTATAATGAAGTGTTATTGTTTTTCTAACACGCCGAAGCTGTAAAATCATTTTTTGGCCGAATGACTTAACAAGAATATCTCATCACACGAGTTTAACATTGTATTATATATTGCATTTGTGGAAGCGCTGGGTAAAACTCCAGCCATAACCATCTCGATTGCAAAGAAAAGTAAACTAATAAAGGAACATTGGAAGGGTTGGTTGTCCTAAAGACAGACAGATAGAGAGATTATCGCGAGTGTGATTTTGTGAATGAACAGCAAACTTAAGGTTGAGCACTCCTCCTAGAGTTGGGTCTTTTATGGCCACAGAAATAAGCAACATTCGTCTCGGAAGTCAACCGACTTACTATTCCACCTTAACTGGTCTCGCTCATCATTGTAAACTATGTGTCTACGTCTCTACGGACCTCATATATTCATTACCGCTACATTAGGCTAATATAAATACAGTGACTCCTCAAAATCTCTGATCCACATCGCGGGCCTCATAATCTTGTTCATTCAAGCCCTTATTCTTGCTGCAGGTAATTCAATCCTGGCCAGTTTTCTGGGCCATGTCTGAAACACTCAATAACTAGAGCTGTTAAATTAAAAAAAAAAAAAAAAAACCGAGAAGCAAATGAAAGATTAGCCTCTAAATATTTTAAGCCCAGAATTACTTCTTGAAGACTTAGCGTTGAGTCCTTCCAGATGGTGATGGTCAAATTCATGATATCTTAAGATCCCGCGCCTGCAAGCCACCAACTTGTCAAAACTCTAACCAGCAATCCAGGACTCCTGGAGACGGAACATGTTGCGTATTGGGTTTGTTCAAATGGAAAGGATTCAAGAGCAACCACGTTTGCTAGTTATTTAGAAATCAAACATCTGATTGTAGAAGAAATCAAAATGTGTTGGGAGGCATTTTAAATAGTTTGAGCAGTCCTAACTTTTCATGCCACAATGCAACCTTGGCAGATGCACATTGAAAAACCTCAATGGCATCTATGGAGCATATCAGTAAGTTACAACTGAATGAAACATCCATCTACAGCTTAATAAATATGTCAGATGCAAGCGAGATAAATCCACTTGATGACACAAACGAGATAAATCCTTCATGCAAAAATCAAGTGGAGACATTAAAAACTTGGGACTAAATATTCCTATAAGTGCATGTTTGTTTAGCAGGAAAATTAGAATCTTTCTTGCACTTTCCCTCACTTTCCTGCACTTTGTGCCCTGCGAAATTTTAGAGAAAATAGCTGGTTAGATACAAAAACTTTAATAACTGCCACTAACTATAACTAACTTCCCATTTTCTCTCAATTTTTTTCTTGGTGACTAAACGTATTCTAGAATAAGATTTTTCTTTTCCTTTACCTCACTTTCTCATACTTCACTTTCCCAAATGACTTTCCCTCTATTCAAACAGAGCCTAACTGAACAATGCTAGATGACCACAACCATAGCATGGTTCCAATAGAAAACAATAGTGCAATGGTCATTACCTTACCTGTATGTTTATCCATGAGTGAACCATCTACCACCCAATCATATCTAACATTACAGACACAACAGAAAAACATTTGTATAGAGAGAGAGAGTCATGCTACCAAATTAAGTTTATACCTGATTGGGTCTCATGGGGATGACAACTGCATAGAGAACACCATCCAGTGAATTTGAAGTCATTCTTGAGCATCTTAAGATTCCTTTTTCTGTGGCTACAAAGACATGTGGACCTCCCCGCTTTTCTGATAGATTAAGTCGTATTTTCTACGTCAAACCATCCATAAATAAGATATCGTCAAGCAAAAGAATGGATCATCAAAATCTTTATACAACTTGTTTAGACAAAAGAAAGAATTTCTAGCCCCGCAAAGCCAAATTCTCAAGTGTCAAGATTCACTTTTACTGACACAAAGAAATTTCCATATATTAAGAACAAGTAGCTTACGAAATGCTTTACTGAGTCCCTGAATTGTATTATGTGTGCTGAACAGCATGGTGTAAACCAGTATTTCGACAGAAAGTCACATGATTTTGCAGCATATGTTCAAGGTCAAGGGTTGCATCAGATATATTGAATTTCCACCAGCCAAACAACTTTAACACCATCTGTACTGCAATCACACCCCACATTTTGTCAAAATTACCTCCGACTTTTACCCTGTCCTGCGCTTAACAAGCAAGAATTCACGATGCTTGCATGAAGACCTCTTGTACAGCTCACAAATGCAATACATAAAAAGATACCAGGTCATCTCATGCAAGGTGTGTTTTAGAGACTACCAATAATCATTGCATGAACATGATCCATCAATAAAACAATGGAAACGGTTAGTGTCCCGCACAATAATTTCTCTACCAGTTATCTTTGATATGAGCTTGAAGGCCATATGACAATCACCACAAACGCGAAGATTTTTGGTTATTCGGATGACATCATTTGGTCTAGTACTTATTAGACCAAATGCAAGAGCAAGCTTCTCACTGTGATAGCCCAGCACATATTCTTTCTCTTCCTCTTCAACGTCGAATAGCACAAAATCCGTAATTGGAACATAGCCTGCTGCTCTTAACTTCTTGTCCAATTCACCGAGTTTGGCATATATCTTATCCGACATAGGATGAGAAGTATCTCCCACAAGAAACTCATGAACAACTCCATCTAATTCTATCCAACTGTAAGCAGGTACTTTCTGAATCCCTTTCCCATTCATAAGTGCTCTGATTTTCTCAGAATCTGCCCATTTTTTATTAGCTGAATAAATATTTGATAAAAGAACATAGTTCCCAGAGTTCCACGGTTCTAATTCAATCAATTGCTTTAGCACGTGCTCAGCTAGCTGAGTATCTCGATGTAGACGACATCCACTTAACAGAGCTCCCCAAACCACAGTATTTGCCTTCATTGGCATGTTTTGGATCAATGAATGGGCTTCATCTAACAAACCAGCTCGACCAAGAAGATCAACCATGCATCCATAATGCTCAATTGTAGGATATATAGAATAAATCGAGTTCATACTATAAAAGTACCTGCGACCTTCGGCAACCAGACCAGCATGACTACAACCACAGAGGAGACTGAGGAAAGTGTTCCCATCAGGCCTCAACCCATTTTTCTCCAACGCCGCAAAGCAGCTAAATGCAGATCCAACATGACCACCCATGGAAAGCCCTGACATCATGGCATTCCAAACAACGAGGTCCTTTTTCTTCATTTGAAGAAAGACCTCCCAAGCTGAAACAATCTTCCCACATTTAGCATACATGTCAATCAATGCTGTACCCATAACAGGATTGGAGAAAAAATCGTTCATACCCATCAACCTACTAGCCCACTCCCCTACATCCAATGCTCCTAATCTTGCGCAAGCAGATAGCACCCCTACCATCGCATAACAGTCCGGTCTTAAGTTCTCCCGATGCATTTGATAAAAGAGATCCAAAGCATCTCTAGGAAGCCCATTTGCTGCATAACCCTGAATCATAGAACTCCAAGAAACAATATCCTTTTCAGGCATCTCATCAAAAACTGCACGAGCCATCTCCATACTTCCAAGTTTAGAATACATATCGACCAAAGAAGTGCTCACGAAGACATTTCTCCCCATGCCACTCTCCGCCCAATACTTATGTATTAACTCTCCAGCGCTCAAATCCCCTAACTGAATACAGGCAGACAATACCCGAACAAGTGTGAAACTGTCGGGCCTCAAACCTGTTGTCAGTGACCTCCAAAACATATCAATGGCTTCTCTAAATCTCCCAAATTCAATATATCCACTTATTATTGCAGTCCAAGAAACCACATTTTTCTCAGGAATATCATCAAACACTTTCTCTGCATCCTTCACACCACCACACTTCGCGTATAGGCAGACCAACCCAGTCTTCACGAAGACATCATAATCGAAACCCCCTTTCACCACGAGAGTATGAAGCTTAGAACCGAGTTCCATATCCAACAGCCTCGTGCAGGCTTTCAGCAGAAACGGAAAAGTAAAATTATTCGGTAAAAATCCTTCTTCACGCATAGAGTAAAAAAATTCAACAGCCTGGTCAAAACGATCTTTAGAGACCAACCCACGAATCATAGTGTTCCACAAAAACATATTTGGGGCTTGTGTTTGGTAAAATATGCGTTCTGCGTAATTCGGGCTGCTGAACTTGAAGGTTGATATAAGAAGCATGTTGAGAAGATAGTTGTTTTGGTTGAGACCACTGCGAAGGAGGCGGCCATGGATATGTTTGAGTTGGTTTAATGAGTTGAATCCTTGAAACAGAGCCGCTTTGATCTCCTTCAAAACTGTCGGAACCATGGGAAACGCCTGCAGATACATTCTTCATAGAGGCTTTAAATTCATTCCACGACATGGTTCATTCCCTTCCCGCGTATGTTTAACATTCGTTAAAGGACTTCTTTTTATATACGTCGCATCCCAAATGTGTGCAAACAATCATATGAAGAATTTAGTACCATGAAGTTTTTCATAGAGAATTTAGTATAAAGCACATTCCCTTCCCGCATAAGTTTTACTTTCAGGTTTGTAGATCTGTAATCAACTTCCAACTAAAGTTTCCATTGCCATTGCTATGTATCGAAACCCTAATTCCAATACTTTCCTTTTGCCGGATCCAGACGTGTTGATGAATTTTGAAGGAGCAGAAATGTCTATCTTATGCACCTAAAATCCTTCTCTTGCCCATTTTGCCAGTTCCATTCTCTATAAAGATATCTATATATTAAAAAAAAAAAAACATATTAAGAGCCTTACCCAACAAATTACATGGTTTTGATTCCTTAATGATCCGGCCTACTCTTTGTTGATAATCAAAGGAAAACAGATAACAGTGAGAATCATACATATGAAATATCAGACCGTGATGAATCTTTCGCTGGAAGCCAAACAGCGTTGCAAGTGGCTCTTGAATTCTGGAGCTGCCCAGTATATGAAGCCAGACGAGTAACAAGCGCATGGACCAATTTCCATGAAATCGTAGCGAGCCTTTAGCAACGTTATTCATTTCGTGATAAGAGATGCCGAAAATCATGTTAAGAGACGATTTTATTAGTAGACACCGAACAACAGGCTAAACAACTGGATTACTTCTTGTTTGGCCTAAGAATGCATAAATTACATACACCTCTGCAGTTGATAAATGATATGAAAAATCGACAACAGATTGATTACTTCCAGCTTAGCCTCCCTCAATCACAACTTTCTACAATATACCACTCCCTCTCCAGGCCTCCTCCTTTTCTTCTTGATTGCACATGTTACCAACAAAAGATTGATTCAGTCTGACTTCTCTACCTCGCGGAATCTTCTATCCCATTCACGACCCTCATAATCCTGATCGTACAAGTCCTTGTCTGTACTGTACACAATCCGCTCTTTTCCAATATAGTTTCTCTGCGCCATGTCCCTGGCACTCAAAATCTGAAATGTTCAATGGAAGAAGCAATACAAAGTCGCCGGTTAGCTGCCGGAAATAATGGAATAATTTCCAGAGTCATCATTAGTGCAATGAAAATGTTGAAATGCTAGAAAGTCTAATTGAAAGAAACTATAATTTCAACTGAAGCTGACATCCTCAAAACTTCTTCAAGATTCAAACCATCCGAAGGGTCCCAGGGGAAAAAAATCCCAGAAGATTTTCCCGTATATTTTCTCCTGTTTTGAGGGAGGAGAGAACAACAGCTACAAGCTGTGGATGGAAACAAACGTAGAAGGAAAAAGGATAGAAAGAACAAGGGCACACCAATTTCTAGAAAACAAAAAAAAAAACAGAAAAAAGAGAAGAGCCACCATAAAGAAACAGTACAAAATAAATTGCTGACATCAAACTGCTGTTGAAAACAGTATGATGCCCACAAACATGGCAATAATGGTAAAATACTGGGGTAATCCCCAAAATTGGCATTGAGAAGACAATGATGTACTTCCAGAAGAACACGCAGGTATAGTGTTAAATAATTCAACAAATGGTAAACTTAACAAAAGCAACAAACCAAGTTAAGATGTTATCTTAAGCCTTCTTTTCAAGTATGACAAAATAAAGTAGTCCATTTTCAGGTATACAGAATCAATAATAAGGTTGAACATTTACCTTATGAGATCTCATAACCCTAAAGCAGTAAATTATGAAAAGAAACAGCAGAAAATTGCATAAGGCTTCAGGTTTACCTTCCGCCTAAGAGAGAGATCAGGCAATTCAAGTGCCCGAGCACGTTGTTCCCTTGCTTTGTTTCGCTTTTCAATCTTAGCATTTGTTCTTTGAACGAAAAACCATCGAACCAAAGGAATTGCAAAGAAAGAGCCAGCATAAATCTGCTTATTCCCAATTGCAATTAAACAAAAGGAAAGATCCCACGGGAAAAACAAATAAATAAATAAATAAAAGAACAGAAGAACTTTGCGATGCAATTCCAGATCTCTCAATATATGGTAGAGTCGGCAGTGACACGAAAACCAGAAAATGAACCAGACAATCATAAGACAAATCTCACAGGAAAGACTGCTTTTTCTTGGATGTTTATAAAATGAAGCAATCCAGTATGTGAAAACGATAATTCCCAACAATAGCCAATTGATGCAAATAAGGACCCCATTTGCGAATAATAGCTGCAATACCAAGTCCTTATTGCTAGTTGCTGCATAAAAATTCCTCGAAGTGCAAACAGACAACTCCATCAACCCCCCCGCCCTCCTCTATCCTCCACCTTTTTTCTGTGCATATTCACCTATCCGTCATCCCTTAACACTCAAAATAACAGTATCAGCCACACCAACATGTCAGAAGTATAGCCAACAGAGGAAAGCTCAACAACTTCGCTATGAGTTTGTTGAGAAAGAAAGGATGCCAGAGGAATCACCCTCTGCTGAAACTTTAAACTTCAAAGTCTCCCTTCTGATTAGAAAAAAATTAATAGAAAGCATAAAGTCAAATACTAGAAATATAGGACGATTTACTTCCTCTGATTAGTAGTCTTGTGATCAATCCTTGCTTTTTATTGGACAACATAATGCAATATTGGCTTACCTGTTTGGACTTAAATCTTAAAGAATCATAATAAAAACAAAACAAAACTAAAAAAGACCTCAGTTGCATCTACAGATTTAAAAAGTGTCCAACAAGACATCCAATCATACCTGAAGCAAGGGAAATATGTCAGACACAAACGAGATGAAACCACTTGGTGAAACTGTCATACTCCTTCAAGTCAGAATTAAAGTAGAGATGTTAGTAATTGTTACAACTAGAAGATATTCTTAGTGAAGAAGGCCAGCTGACATACTTCAGCATTGTACCAAGAAAAATAACTCCAAATAGATTGAGCCCACCCAAGCCAATGACCATTGCCCTCTCCGAACTGCTGGTTTTACTGCAATATAAGCTCTCACATGTAAGGAAACTATGACAGATCAATTAAATAAAACACAATGGGAAGAAAATGGTTGAGTACCTAAACCTCCACTTGTTTTCCTTAAAGAATTTCTCACCACCAACCCAATCAGACCATTTTCTTCCTATATATTCCTTCCTTCCACTTCTTTGGGGAGCAGCAGTCCGCTGTAGCAATGGAAACCTGTATAGGATATTTCCCTGCAAGAAAATCAGTTCCACTAAGTAGGAGAAATAATTATTAGATAATCTGATAAAACATTCCATTGGCATGAACTGACGGTCATCATAGGTGCAACATTGCAACTGTCTCATTTTAACTTTAGAGCTTATAGTTATGGAGTACAAATACAACCTAAAAAGTAACTTCTTGGAGGCTAAAGTTGCACACATTTAGTCCTCCAAGGGATAAGGGGCCTCTACACTCACTATTAGTGATTGTAAAGTGCAATATATTCACTAAAATTACAGATGCAGATGCTTATAACAATTGTATACAGTCAAACAAGTGTTAAACAACTAATACTTTATTACTTTTCTTTGGAAGTAGTTTCCAAACTCAATCATAACCATTGAGTTCAAGAAAATCTCAACCAATACCAGGAATTGTACTCTACAATTCCAGATGCAATTGTGGAGGCCCCTCATCAGTGCTTCAGGAACCTTGCCGTGATAGGACCTTCAACAATAATTTTCCTTTAACCCACTGCAACAAGGGCGGACAATGGCAACTCCATCCAGTTGCTTAAAATTATCCAGGATCCAGACATTAAACACGTGTTTATGAAATTATATCATCCATATTTAATCTAATTCACCTTTTAGAGTGGTTTTCCTCTTTTCTTTTCTTTTTTTTTTTTCGGTGGAGGAGGCATGAGGCATTGAGAGAAAAACCCCTTGTCACCATCAGAGAAGTGTTCCCTTTTCTAAATTCTAACCACCGCAGAGCAAATTAAATTTTCACTTCTTACAGAATCATGCTGTGACTGAAGCAGATGTAATCTAGACTCCAAATTTACCCGTACAACCAAGATCCCTCTTCATTACTAAATAATTTCCATAAAACGAAAACAAAGGCTCGCCAGAACTTTCCAGAAGCAACAACCACATGTACTGAAAACTAATTTTGTAGAAGGGGAAATGGGAAAAAGACGTTGTTGAACTGTTGAAGAGATCATATACATGAAGAACAATCATAATTACAAAAACTCCTAGTCCTACAGTTAGAACTTCCACAAATTTCATCACCTTTTCTGCACACTACTTGTGGAATATCAAAAGGATGCTGCCTTTAACTATGAAAATGCACCATCAAAACTTCTGATCAGTAAGAAGTCGGAACAAGTAATCTAACATACCTCTTCATCTACTTCTGGCTGACCATCAAACCTCAAAAGCACTGGTAATATGTAGGAATCTTCATCCTGAAACAACCAATGGCCAATGACTCATTGCAAATAGGACCAGGATCATGCTAAATGGTAGGCCACATCAAGTATGAACTTACCACTTTGTCAGTAGTCTCTATATCAAGATATGGAGCAACTTCTTCAGCAGTTACAACACCACCATTTGATGCAATGTATTCTCCAATCTAGCGTTTTGGGCAATGAGTAAAATCATTTGCAGATACTCTCAAGGAAGAAACACAAAGGACTATAAACCAATTGAGAAGGACAAGAGGGCTAAGTAAGCTTTAATACAAAATGCTTAAATCAATAACTACAGAAAAACCATCTTCTATACTGACGCTGGACCCCCTAACATAACAAGGGAGATCTTTAAGCAGATACAAAATGGCTAGAGTTACATCCCTGCATCAGACAAAACTAGGTGTCACTAAACTAGCTATCAGCCACTCTCAGTAACAGCTTTATGAAGTTATTTGATGCCAAGGCACTAACAAACCTTTGACCAAACACAGATTTCACTTCCTTGCACTCTCTGTGTCAGTCATAACACGACAAAAAAATGATTAACCCTCATGCTTATACATTTGGCACTATGCAGAAATCTTAACATATTCATAAAATACTTTCACAGTAGATCACCATGTCAACAATATGGAGAGAGTTTTCATTTAGTATCTCTGCTTGGTAGAATAAAGCAATTTCCATAGAACTGGATTTAACCATCATGAACTAACTAAATGGTATGTCAGAGAAAGAACTTATAAGTGAAGAGACTAGATTACAAAGTTTGATTCCTGAATAATTAAGTCTCTGAATTTAGATTCCCATGGCAGACAGTGGGTTATAGGAATGGGTCTTGAGGCCTAGTCCTGATCCAAAACATACTAGATGATGACAGGTTTAAGGGAGGCCAGGGTATTAGAGGTACACTTGATTGTTCATACACCTGTTAAAGCTATGTAACACTACCTAATTTATAGTTTAAAGCCCCAAAGAAAGCAAGGATATTGCAAAAAGCGGAAACATATAACTATGGACAAGTACAAGAGCTAGATGAGCAAGCTTAACTCAATTGTCTTATTTCAGCCTCAGTAATAAGGTGATCAAAGAGGATAACAACATTGCTAGGGAGAATGAATAAAAATTGAACATGCACACACAAATAGTTCAACTGCAAACAGTAAAGTTACGGACCACTACATTCAGAGCTCAATTATTACCAACTTCCACCTTTCTTCTTCAATTCCCTGGTTTGGATCACCATCCCCAAATACAAAGGAAAAAACCTGAAAAACATAACCAAAGTATAAAAATGGTTACTTTTTCACTCATGAGCTGTGGAGGCTTAGAATTTTCCCTTACAGATTCAATGAAGTTCATGTCTCCACTATCTTCCCTTAATCGTCGCCTCCGATAGTAATATGGATCCCAATACCTGAATGGCAAAAAATTGCAACATATAAACAAACAATTGGGATATATATATAAGTTATATAGTTTCTTTAATTTCCAGCTCCCACTAATATATGGCACTATAGTTGGTTTTAGCCAGTACACTAGTTTATGTTTACAACAAAATCCAACACTGATGAAGATAAAGCTGGTTATTTGAACCTGAAATCTGTTTGATAAGGCGACCAAACCAATGCATATAAAGCTGTTCATATTTGAACCAGAAATCTGTTTGATAAGGTTTCCAGCCATGTGGTTATTAGTTACATCATTTTCCATTGCTGGAATTAGAGAGAGAGAGAGAGAGAGAAGCAGCAATCCTGAATCTCCTAGCTGCCTGAGACACCAACTGAATATAAAAATTTTTCTTCCAACGCTCGGGGAACCATCTTTGAGTTTAGTCAATTATTTTAGTTACTTAAGTCATCTTAGAACAGTAATATACGATTATCAGCAAAAGGTTCATACTGTCAATTGGCTGTATAAATAAATTTCTAAAGTTACAAAATTCTTAAATCATTATAAAGAATAATTTGTCTCAAATTTTGAACTTATATGAGAAATTAAACATAGGCATGTGACTACTAACATGCTTGTGGTGTAAGTATTTTTTTTTTTTTTTAGTGCAAGTGGGAGGTCTCGAACCCAGGACCTCTCACTTACACTCCAATTGTAACAGATATTTTTGTATTTTAACTACAGTGGCAAGCTGACAGGTTAAAAATCAAAGCACGGGGTCAATACCTTAGAACCTTACAATAGAACAGAATGCTTACAGCTTCTATTTCTTTTATTTCTTGAATAACCATGTTAGAAATATTACCAGAACAGATCGGTTGGACTGAAATAAAAAGTGAAACCAGTGTCATAAGATCTGCTACGTCTTCCTCGATTGTCTTCATCACTGCAGAATAGACAAAGAGTGATGTGAGAGTAGCAGATAAGGAACTGTAATTATTTTTGTTACAAAAATTGGATATGATGCAGTACTCTAATTATCAATGAGATGAAAAATTTCAAACACAATTAGTACACGCAACCATTTTAAATAAACTTAAGTAAGAGATACCTTCTACTTGAAAGGACTGCAATTATAGTGGTATACACCACAACAATGGAAGCAATTAGCGCCGTTCCGAACGAGACTCTCACTAGATATTCAGCTCCCAGCTGCCGGCCCAGAAAAAAGGTTGACAACGTTAAGTTTGTTATGCATATGGTATGCTTAGCTATGTAAAATGAACTAGGGACCTCACCTTTGCTTTTTCTAAAAGAGGTTCAATCCTTATACTAAATGATTTAGCTGCAAGCTTCGAACGATAATCCTTTGGAAAAACATATAAAACATCACCTTCATCGGATACCTGTTGGAACCATCAGGAAAGTCTTTACCAAAACTACAAGCCCTAGATAATGAGGGGGAAGGTGGGGTGGAGGGGGGAGAGTACTACATAAGAAGCTAAAATGGCTTAAAAGCTAAATTAAAAAAAAAAAAAAAAGAATACTAATAAATAACCTCCAAGAAGCCTTCAGTGTCGGCAGCTAGGGCCTGAAGAGCTTTCTGAGCTTCATTGAATTGAAGCCCAGCTTTGCTTGCCACGTCACCAACAGTGACCCTCCGTCCGCAAGAATCAATGGCGTCCATGGCACGCTTCCGTAAATCGGCCGGGAGCTTATCGCTCTCAACAGCGCCTCCGGGCCGAATCGAGGACGTGGTGACATCAATACTAGCCCTAATTACAGCAGCACGGGCTCTATTGCAGCTGCGACGAAGTTTAAAGCTATGGAAAGAAAGGAGAGACGCCTGTCGGCGAAGTTGGAAAGTGGGTTTGGCAGAGATGGTGGTGAAGTAAGATTTATACCTGGACTTGGGCGATACAGTGAAGAAGCAAGTGGATATGGCTGCCATTTTCATGGAGCGGTTTTCAAGTGTTTCTTGTATGCAATTTTTAAGTTGTAGCCATATCTGGGAGAGAGGGGTTTGAGGTATAGATATTTGATGGAATTTGTGAAGGGGATTGTAAAAACCACTAGTACCAATTTGTTGTGTGCTGATGGTGACGGACGGTGTTTTAACAGCGAGGGACGAGGCGTTGGAACGTTTCGGTTTTGCCTGGTAAAGAAGGCGCCACTGCCCGGCTTGGCTGTGAGCCCGTGAGCGAAGCTGGGATTGGGATTTGGAGCCGGAACCGGAACCGGAAGCGGGAGGATTATGCTGGAGTTTTATTGCATCGGTGACCTCCAAATTCTTTAAATTCGTAAAATGCTGGAAAATAATAAATACTATTAATTAAAAATAACCGTTTGGGATCCTGCAACAGTTCCCAAAAAAAAACATTTTTTTAGAAATCAAGGCTGCAATTCCAGCTGTAATTTTCGGCCAGCAAGCAGAATTTTATCCAATGGATTTTCAAACATTCCTCCAATTAATTTCCTAATTTGTCAACTAAACCTACCTAACAAATCCATAAGGTTTCATTCGTTTGGATAGCATTATTTGAAAAAAAATTAGAATAACATTATTCTAATAATTTTTGTAATTTGATGTATAAAAGATAAATAATTAGTTATAAAATAAAAAATTAATTACAAAATTATGCTTATAATACAACGGAAATAATTTTTCTACATCCTTTTAGAGGAAGAACTACACCTGATACATATGTTCCCTTCATCAGTACAAGAATTTCAGCTATGGTACTCAACTAGTACATATGTTCCCTTCATCGGTACAAAGCATTTCAGCTTTGAGACTCTCTTGGTTTTAGACAAACTATGCAATCGCCAAGCCACACCGTGTAAACTATGGAACTGGGTGTGCCCGGCTGAACAACCATTCTCTGCACTCAATCATGTCAAAGCCGGGGAAGATACTCATACTCCACAAGCAGGACTCACATCTGATCCACAGAGACCGTAAGATGGCTAATGATGCAACCTGAAGCGCATTTATATTTTTGTGCCATTCATTTCTTGCAACTGATCACATACCAGGCTATTAACCCCCAACAACTGTTTTGAATGTAACCCATAAGGTTAAAAGCAATGATGATACTTATTTCAAAGCCAGTTCAGTTCAAAGCCAACCTCCTTGAGAGAATCTTCCCTGTGCCATCTATTCAAAATCTCCAAATATCCGTTGTAATAACTTGTAATCAAAGTAGCAGACTATGATAATATCCAGTCTAGATTTCTTTTGTAAATTCAGAAATTGACTTCTTCATGCACATGATCAATGAACTGATTTCACACCTCTCAAGATCATGAAAAACAGAATCTTAAGATCATGAAAAACAAAATCTTAACAGCATGTATGCTCGTCTCTTGATTCTTCCATATTTTGCATTGACTATGAATTGCTGATTGGTGGCCAGAATAAAGTGAAAGGGGACTTCTGGATTATCCTCTCTATCTCTTTGTATTACAAATAAAGTTAGTGTAATCTTCCCCAAAAAAGAGGTACACCTCCTACTCTTGCCGTCCATAATGCACCTGGTCCGGTTGCTTTTTTTTCACCAACATGGAAGATTAGACACATCCAGTATCTAAGAAAAACTTCTTTTGGTTGACATGCATGCTCTAGAGACCAGATTTCTGAAAAATTAGTGAGCTGGCAGTTACTGACTCTTTCTTTTAGAGAGTCCAAGCTTCAATTTGTTATAGGTGGCAATATCAGGTATCAATCCGCTATCAAGCATCTCCTCCACCAATGCTTCCCCCTCCTCCATCTTAGCCTCTTTACTAAAACCAGATATAAGGATCCTGTAAGTCATACCATCAGGATCCAGACCCTTACCAGCAGCCAACAACCTCAACTTATTAGCTTCCACTGCTCTTCCAGCTGCACACATATCACCAAGTAGACAATTAAAAGTCACACTATCCGGTACAATACCTTCTTTTAGCATCTTTTCCACAAATTTACAAGCCTCGCCAATTTGTCGGGTACACCGTAAACCTTCAATCAAGATTATGCAAGCAATCACGCTAGGAGCATTTCCCTTTCCCCACAACTCATCCACCAGCTCCACGGCTCTCCCAACATTTCTTTCCACGCAAAGCCTCTCAGTTAGCTCAAAATAATCAAAATCACTTGGGAAAACCCCTTTTCTTGAAAAACTAATCAATAAATCACAAGCTTCCATAACTCGCCCACCTCTACAAAGTTCATCAACCAATATCTCGCAGGTGACGCTAGAAAGCTCGCAGCCTAACTCTATCATCTCATGAGCCAAGGCTATTCCCTCCTCGACTTTTCCCTCCCTAAAGAACCCCTTAATCAAAGTATTGAAACTAACCACATTTGGGACACACCCTTTATTCTTCATCTCCTTGAACATTTCCAAAGCCAATCCAAACTGTAAATTCCTGCAATACCCGCTAATCAAAGTATTAAACGTAATTACATCAGGCTTAACACGGTCCCTAATCATCCGTCCATAAAATTCTGAAGCCTTATCATGCTGCCTAAATTTAACAAACCCATGAATTATGATGTTGTATATAGCAACATTAGGCTTCCCATCAATCAATCTTTTCATGGAATCAAAAGCAAACAAAGCGTCATCAAATCTGCCAGCTCTACAATAAGCATTGATGGCGAAACGAAAGATGGGCTCAGTTTTGGGACAAGAGAATATACCATCGGAGCAGGGGCAGGGGTTGGAAGCGATGAATTGGACGAGAAGATTGAGGGAGTCAAAGCGATGGGAGGTGGCGAGTGAGCGTACAATCCATTCGAAGGTGGAGTGGTCGTGGCGGAAAGTGTCGAGAGAGGCAGCGTAGCGAAAGAGGTGGAAGTCCAGGTGGGTGACGCCAGGGTGGTGGTGGATGTGTGACTTGAGGAAAGATACCAGGTCCTGGGGTGTGAAGGAGGGTTTAAGATGTGATTTGACGATGTGGGTCAGGTGGTTGAGCTGGGTTTGGGTCGTCGGGATTAACGTGGAGGAGGAGTCCGGGATTGGGAGTGGCGGTGGTGCGAGAGGAGGTGCGGAGGTGTCGGTGGCGGGTACTGTTAGGCGGGGTTTGGGCAGCTTCAATTTTCTCATTTTCCTATTTGCCCGTGGCCTGGGTTCAAAATGCTTCTTGTTGCTTCTTGCTGTTGGGAGTCCACTACAACACTTACCAGTTGCCTAAGCAGCCCGCGCTTCTTTTTAGCTGGTTCTTATTACGCATTTATGCCCCGGGCTTCAAGTCGACTCCACCTCGTAAGGAAAATCTAACAATTAAAAATATTTAGTTTATTTTGAACAAAAAAATATTTAGTTATACTTGGTTAATCGCAAAGTTTTCTGAGCCGGAAATCACATGTATTTCGTTCGACTCCACCTCGTACGGAAAATCTAACAATTAAAAATATTTAGGGTATGTTTGGTTACCCAAGGAATTGGGATTTAGAATTGGAATTGGGTCCCCAATTCTAATTCTCGTGTTTGGATCCTACCTTTCATATAGAATTAGAATTGAATCGCAATTCCAAATCGATCGAATTCCATGATTTCAATTCTTTGGCTGGACCAAAGAATTCCAATTCTAATTCCACGGCCAGATTCTCGTTGGGTCAACACGCGGACTTTAAATGGGTAAAAACTAAAAAACGGGTCAACTATAAAGCTAGATTAAGGAAACAAAGCTAGCTTCTTCCTCTGTCTTCATTAGCAAATCGCCATATGCTCCAGCGTTCTCTGTCGTTGCTGCCGCCGCGCCTTCTCCTTGTCCCAGCACCTCTGCCGTAACCCCTACAAGCCTTTCCTCCAGTAAAATCTTTTTTGTTTTTGATACAGTAGCAACCAGGTTTTTGTTTGAGATTTTTCCAATAGCTAATTTGGTCTTTTGAATTAATAGCTAGTTTGGAATATATAATGTTAGTTTAAAATCATATTGGTGATGAAGATGAAAGGGGTAATCTCGTATGTCTTCCTTAAAATGGTTTTTTGAGATCTATTAGAAGTTTTTGCATTGTGGAACCACAAATTGATACTGCATTTTGATTCTACACTGAAAGATGAGATATTTAGCTTTGTTGTGGTTCATGTCTGCTTCATATCCTGTATTTTGTGCAAGCAGTGTTCTAGTAAATTATCAATATTCTGCAATGTATATTATTTCTCCATCATCTAGATAAGATTAATGTCTCATATGATTTACGGAAACTTGTTCTCCATCATATGATTTTTCTGGTGCATATTTGCCTCCCGCTTTTAGTTCTATAATGCAGTGGCTGTTGAATCTATTCTTAAGAACATGACATTGTGATGTTTTTCTGGTGCATATATTTGCCTTAGATATGGCATCTGAAGCAACATCTCAGTCAAAAGGGAAAGGCAAAGGGTATTTCACTTGGACTCCTGAAATGGATCGTGTAATGGGCACCTGTTTTATTGACCAAATAAACCAAGGAAACAAATTGGATGGTAAATGTGCATGGAAAACAGTAGCCTACACCGCAGTAATGAATGCTTTATTCGATAAACTCAATATATCTATGACAAAGACTAATATTATATCTCGTTTGAAGACATGGGAGAAACACTATGACATCTTATACCCACTGCTCCAGTCCTGTAACTCTGGGTCTACGATAATATGAGACTACTCTAGAGGTAGAATTGATGTTCGTAATGAGGATGTATGGAATGCTCGAGTTGGTGGGTATGTTCAGATCTATGAGAGAGCTGGTGGGCATGTTCAGATCTTGCAAGAGAGCATCCAGATTCCATTCTTGATGGGAAGCTTGTTGTTTCTGGTAGGAGCAATCCTTAACAGCAGAGAGCAGACAGGGCATATCCATCACGGTATGAAATTATTGGTAAGTCAAATTCTTTGTGGGGCTGAGCACAAAATCCTGAGCCAGAGACAAGAGCAGTACCCATGCTTGAAACTTTGACTGATCTTCCAGCTTTGCTTCTATTCGGGAAGTTGATCTCTATATTTCACGTATTGGTTCGCAGGGTTTGACGTGGATATGGATTGGCATATTTGGGAGCCTGTTATTCTTCGCTAGGGGCCTAGCAAATCTTGTAAAAGTGTTCAAGATGCAGCAAGGTGATGGATTACAGTTGGAGAAACTGCGAGGTGGAGCACAAGAGCGACTGCTTGACTTGAGAGAAGGCCAGGTGCCGTTCATCTTGGAGGAGTCCTCTAGGAGGAGGGAAGGGCCTGCGGAGGAAGGGAAGATTGCTATTGTTCCTGCAACTCCTTACAAAGATGTTCTCCTTAGTCAGACCTGAGTATTTGGTGCTTCAATATCGTCTGTCTGTACCTGTTTCTTCTCCACGACTTGTAACATGATTCTGAAGTAGTAATAGTGTCCAGTATAACTCAAGCATGTTAGATTTTTTTTTCTTTTTGGTCCTTCCACCTTTCTCCACACCCTTTTCCACCATCAACTGTTAGATTCAGAATTCGAATAGTAAACTGAATTTATTTGTTGAGAATGTTAATTAAATTGTTTTAGAAACGTACTATTTGAGTTAATTAGTGACTAATTCACTGTCTAGTATTCTACCATGTTTTAAGAAATATGTTAGTGTCATTGGGGATTTACTTTGAAGGGGGTGAGGTCCAGTTTTGGTTGGATGCCAATATGTATACCATACTTGAACAAAAGAAGGCAGTCAATATGATATGAGAGTGGGAAAAAATAAATTATTAAAGGCACAAATTGGTTCTTTCTTTTAAATCTTTAGTAAAAAATAGCTAAATGTAAGAAAAAAAAGAAATTATTATATAAAAAAGAAAAAAAAAGAAAAATTTTATGTAAGCAAATGTTTCATGAAAACAATTCTAATTCCTAATGAATTCTTCTCTCATACAAACAAAGAATTTGGAATTTCAAATAAATTCCGTATCAATTCTATGTGTAAGTCCCACAGACAACCAAGAGGGGGGGTGAATTGGTTGATTAAAATCTTAACCAAGTTTATGCACTTTTTCTTTAATGAAAATTTACCTTCCTTTTTAGTAATGATCAACCAAGTAGATTAGAAGACAATAGCAATATTAATCAGAGAAGCAAGTATAGATAAGCAATGAAGATTTTATTAAACAGAAATATAAAATAGAGAAACAAACCAAGTGTCTACCAAGCTTTACACAAACTTGAAGACCAAACACTAGGAAGAGCAACTTCTCTTTGATGAACGAAGATCAACTAGATGTACAATGGAGGGAGCTCTTCCTCCTTGCCCTAAGCCTCACTTAGTCAAGCTAGGAAGTTTTACAATCACTCAGAAAACCCTCAACAAAGCTACACTAAAGATCCTTTCAACCACAAAAGAAATGCTCAACAGAAATTCACACCACTTTAATACAAATCTGCTTTGGAGACTATTTTCTAGCTAAAATATCTCTTGAGAACTTGTAAACAAAGTGAGCAAAAGTCCCTACTTCGTTCAGACCAGTTTGATTTTAAAGGGATCCAGAAATGGGCTTCATCAATGCTTCCAACGGATAGAAGGCAGCTGAAGAGTCAACTAGCCGTTGGGGCTGTCGGACGTCCGACGATCGAATCATCGTCCGAACCAATCGTCCGATGATAGCCAAGTTGAGGTTCGGACGTCCGATAAGTTCTTTGTCGTCCGACAGCACAGCGTCCGACCTTGGGCCGAGAGCTAGCAAGTTATCTTGGAATTTTTCGGACGTCCGATGCGGTTGATTAGCGTCCGATGGCAAGCGTCCGATCCTTCCGGACGTCCGATGCTTCCATGTGAGCGTCCGACGGTGCTTCCTTCCTGATGTTCTTTATCTTTTCGGACGTCCGACAGTTTCCTTTCGGCCGTCCGACCTGATTGTCCTGTTTTTGCTTCTCATTTTGGTTGTTTTACATTTCATGACATATTTGAACCTGATTCTTGGATAGACAAAAAACACTTGTATTTGAGGAAGGTTAGACAAATATTTCAAAGTACCAAGAATGACAAACTAGACATACTTAAAAGACAATATCTTTGATCGAAAACAAAACAATGACTAAATTCATTCATATTATTCCAATCTTGTTTGCCACATCCAAAGCAACGTAGTCAGGAGATAAACGAACATATGCTTTCTTTGTTCCAACAGACCTGATCAAAGTGTTCACTTTCTTGGTCTGTATAAACAAACTTTTGTGATCATCAAAACCAAGAATAACACTATGCATTTCCCAAACGAAAGAATTGAAATGACTTGGAATTCTAATTCATAGAATTCCAATTCTATAGAATTTCAATTCTAATTCAATTCTAATTCTGTAGAACCAAACGTACCCTTAGTTTATTTTGAACAAAAAAATATTTACTTATACTTGGTTAATCGCAAAGTTTTCTGAGCCGGAAATCACATGTATTTCGTTGAGCAATGTCTAGTACAAATTGATCAATATATTTACCTATTACAAATTCTCAATCTACTATTAAAGCAACTTATAGTTAATAGATTTTGCAAATATCAAATAAAGTCGACGACTATATGTTTTTAATTTATGATACTAATTTCAGTTGGTAAATTATTGTTTATTGTCATCGAAAACTATTGAAATAATCGATATAAAAGTATCAAGAAAAGTACTTGATCTATAAAGTTCAAACAGTTAATAATGTCATCGTTTTCATCTAAACATGTATTGCTTACTCACATGATGTGACCATGATAAGATGGCAAATTTTACCTTGCACTACTTCATGAAGTTTATGTTATCTATACTATACCAACTCACATACTACATTTTTTTTTCATTGTTCACCTTTTTATCATGGTATTAAAAGGCTAATGATTATGCTTATTTTTATCTAAGTAACAAGTTTTATGGGACTTTGAAAACCATAATATAATCACGAGGAATTGATTATTATTCCTATATAGTTCCAACTATCTATGATATATATCAGACATAAAATTTTAATTATTATTCCTATACAGTTCCAACTATCTATGATATATATACCAGATATAAAATTTTGGATACTTTTAAAAATGGAATCATAATAAATTTTGACTTTTTTTTCCCTCTAAAAAAACAAAGGGATAGAAAAATTAAAACATCTAGATGCAATTACAAATATAAGTAAGAAGAAATATTTCTTTTGTTGGAGTAATATAGCTTGATTCAATATGAAGAGAAATAATGGAAAACTATTATTTTGG